TAATGTAAATTATGCAAATGAGGACTTTATTTGCATAATTAATGAGGAAATTCTATAATTACAGTGTTTTACATTATACTATGTAGCCTATGGCAGGCGGAACTTCAACAGATACTAATTATGCAAATGATGACCTAATTTGCATAATTAATGTGAAAATTCTATGATTTCGTAATGGTGAATGATGAGAATGCCATACTTGGGACATCTGTAAGTTAATCAAAAGTTAACATACATCACGATGCATATATCATGTTAATGCAGAGGTCATTTGAACAATTAAAGAACAAATTTACATTTACATATGAAGATCATATTTCATGGAGGTATGAGATCTCGGAATTCTAGTTTAATATCAATTCAAACCTCCTTGGTTTTGCACAACGCTTAGCTCTATATCGCTGCATTTTAAGAAAGTTTCCTCTTTTTCAGTAAAAGATAAACCTTTGCCTTTTCCTCAGGTCGCGATGCCTGTGCACGTGTTTAAAATGCTGGGAGTGGAGACTCTGTTTGTGACTAACGCAGCAGGCGGGTTGAACAGCAGTTATACCATAGGCGACATCATGATAGTAAAGGACCACATCAGTATGCCGGGACTGACTACAGACAACCCACTAACAGGCTTCACGAATGAAAGGTGCTTTTTATCGTGCTCTTTTATTCCATCGACTAATACATCAAAGACCATAATAAATACAAAAAATAATGGCCAAACAACGCCCCCGTTGTTCTTTATGAAAATTGAACCATATTTGACAAGCTACAAGTTCAAAAATTTACTAGACAAAGTTAAAAATTCAGTGAAAAGCAATGAAAAGGTAATGTACTTTCTCTACACTTTGTCTGCTAACCAGTTATATATAACTATATATTCAATCAGGAGAATCTATTCCTCGTCATACATTGATACTGTCCAATAAATTTGTACTGCACCTTAAATGCTGTACTGCTTAATGCTTTTGCTCCTATTGCATAGGATTCAGTGAGTTGCTCTATCTCATAAGCCTCTTGCAACTAGCACTACTCAAAGCTTAACTGCCGTGGACTCTTAGATTCGGAGAACAGTTACCGGCGTTGCCCGAGCTGTACGACAGCGGACTGCGTGAGTTGGCGTGGTCAGTGGTTGGGGAGCTCGGGCTGCAAAAGATGGTACGGGAGGGGACGCTGGTGCAGGTGGGAGGGCCGTCCTTCGACACCGTCTCCGTCTTCAACATGTTACGGCGTTTGGGTGCAGACTGTGTGGGTAAGGATCTCACGTGAATTATTTCTAAGGGAAGTGTTCTTAAAGGGTATTATGTAACATTTTTGCACAAAAATAGAAATATTTCATTTAAAGAAATATTCGTGTGATTGTAATTCACTTCCCCCTTTCAACACATTTGTGCAATTATCTCACATTTCTGACATTTATGGTTGGCGCTAAAACAGCCCACACGAGGCACACTCAGTTTGTGGTGCCACCTCAAATTGCAAAACACCTGTAAGCCTCGTTCATTTTCTGCCATTTACTGGAACTTCATAAAGTTCATAATAACGTTCATAATAAACTAAATAAAGTATATTAAGGCATAATAATGCACAAACCTTCTCAATTAAGCTAAGTATCATAATACATGTATTAAAACGTTATTTAATGACAGGAATGAGTTCGGCACCCGAAGTCACTGTAGCACGGCATTGTGGGATACGTGTGTTCGGCCTGTCTCTGGTGACAGACATGGCGCCCATGGAGAGCGACCTTCCCCCGACAAACCACCAGGAGATCTTACAAACCGCAGAAGTACGGGCTCGTGACGTCCAGAAGTTGGTCTGCGAGATGATCAAGCGATTACCCAACAACAACACAAGTTCGACGTAGTACTGCCTTCGTAACAGAGACTTTTCTTTTTCAATTCCAACATTTATCACAAGACATGACGACGGCACACTCAAGTTTTTCAAACTAATTTTTATGCCGCCACCAACACAGACAAACGCACGGACAACGGACATACTCATTTTCACTTGAGTTAAGTTAAGTGGGGAAATTCGTGTTAAGTGCCTTTCCCAAGGGCACAAGATCGGTGGCATGGAAGGATTCGAACTAGGCACCTCTTGGTTCTGAGCCTCACGTCTTATAAACATCTTGACGTATGTTTTGTTAGCAATGTTTGCTATGGTTGAGTCAAGTTACTTTTCTTTAAAACGTTCTGTCTTTTGAAGTTTCAAATAGTCTATGGTTCTATAACTATCAGCGGTACTGTAATATCAATGACTAGAGAAATATATATATATATATGCAAAAACTGCCAAAACAAATTGCATTACTGTAATATCTTTCCGAGTACAAAATGTAACGGTACAGTTGTAGCTTTCTTCTTTTTAATAACCGTTGAGTTACTTCCCTGTTTACCTAAGTGTAGGTTTCATAGAATGATGTAAAGCTTGTTGTTCTTTGCATAGTCTATAACGAACTACTTTATACCTATCTTTGTGCCCTGGATAAGAAGACATTCTATTTAAAGGACCACCACCTGTCTTGATGTCCTTGTAATTTTAATTGAACCTCCGCACGGTTGTATTTTTTTCAAAAGGTAAGAAAATCGGTCTTCAAGATAGATCAACAAAGGGGCGCATGAAACTGCCACAAAGCAATCACAGCACAAAGGAAAGTTCTCATATACGTCAGCCACATTGTCATCGGACACTGTGATGCTACAGGGCAGTCATGCATGGCAAACAAACAAAGGTATATATAGATGATTTAATGTCCCAATTTACTCAAGGTCATATTCTTTGCAAGTTTTTTTTTTGTCGCTGATTGTGTTGGGATGATTCTTTGTTAAAACGAAGCCATGTTTTTCTCGTCCGTGAGAGTTGTCGTCGATAAAAACATAAAGACTACACCCTAACGCAACCGTGCGTCACGTCTCAGTCCGGTGATGGTGGTTACTGGTGCGTTTGTGCACGGTCACTACTGTGTGAAGATTGGCAAAATAGCAGGGCCTTTAGCGCCATGCGTCCGAGGGGTATCAGTGAACAGAGCTCTTTAGTTCGACCGCACGTCGGCTACACGGACGGTTGGAGGATTGTAGCATTCCTGCCATTTTGCAACACTGGTGCCGCCGAGGGCTAACTTTGGTAAAAAAAACGTACGCAATTCAACGTCTGAATCTTTAATTCACGAACTTCAACGGAGTCAACTCGCTGACAAACAACTACGGGTACAGCAGTGGCAAAAACAGCGAGGTTTGAATCTCTTTGGATACAACAAGGCGGTATCGTATCGGGGACAAAGACAGTTAGATTCTGCCCATCATTTATTCATGGCGAGTTTATCCCGGAGATTTGTCAGCAACAATTGTGACTGATTCGTCGGTTGGACCGAACATTGTGCGCGGGACAAAAACGCCGCTGTCATTTCGGACAGAATTGCTTTGTGACTCAGAAACGCGGCAAAACCGAGTCACAAGATACGGTTGGAGTTGGGAGAGACAACGGCACATCTTCAGTTGATCGGATATTTTCTCTCAATGATTCACCATGAATTTCCACTCGGTAAGTGATCTTCCTATCATTTTGCCCTAGTGAAGATTCTTGTGGACTTCTCTTTGTGGTACAGTGGTTGTCCCAACTTCGCAACGAGAACACGGCTATAGACAATAAGAAGGATTGATCTGGGATCTGAGGATATATAGTTGTATCCGGTGTATATCTTACCAGAACTAGACTATATCAAACCCAGAACTGACTGACGATGTTCATACTGAGTACATGTATAAGTATTGAGTACATGATAATCCTCTTAAACAGTAAGAAAAAAAAGAGGACCATGCGAAATAATGGCGTAATGAATATATGTTCTTTGTCAATTATACAACGTATTTTATCCACGCATAACTAAAATACGCATCTTTCCATTATGTTATAACTATATGCTAATCCTAGGTAATTCAGTGTTAATTTTATTCTCATGCAATATAAGAATTCGATAATTGTTTTTATTGTAGAGGTGCTCTCTTTTGTACAAGCCATAATTCAGCCTGAGCTGCCAGTAATTTGCTTTAACAAAAACTCGTTTGATTGATTGACTAATTGATTGATAGATTGAGACCATCTGATTCTTCGTTCCATCATCAGTCAAAGTAGGAACACTCGCTTTAGAAAACTCATGATTGACGAGAAATCTTAAAGGGATTAATTATGTAACTATAGGCCATCGTTATAAACCACAACTGTAGGTTGTCAAATGTCAGGACAGCCTTTGTCGATAAGTCACCATATAACATCTAGGGATTTGAAATAGGCTGTGAAACGTCCCTGTAGGTTGAAACCCTCCGAGATTGTAACTCGAGGTTATGTTGTCAGTCGATAATATTCAATGACTTGAATTTTTCCTTATGTGGAAGACTTCTTACTTGCCCTTACGCAAGTCCTACAACATGCCCATTTTCGAGTCGTTGTCGTCTGAAGTTATTCCTACAATAAGAGTAGAAACAAGTCATGAGATTTAAGTTATGTACTTGGTCACACTACACTGTGGTCACACTACTTTGTTGTACGCCATTTCGGATACGGGATAGAGCGAGGTTCATTCATTTTATTCTATCGATTCTAAAACATGTATGCTTTTGTGTACAATGGGAACATCTTAATTAAAGAAGCAGACTTCAAGTCAGGAATATGAAGAAAGACGGTTATGCAGGCAAGAACACAAAGATAGTAAATGAACAGCTATGGGATAGATCCGCCCCAGAGGCGTTGCCAAAAGGCTTTGACTGCACTCCTGCATGTCGTCACTTTGTGGAACCGGATGCCTGAAATGCAATGGTCTGTTCATGGAGTAGAGGTAATGCATTTAGTCTGTCACATGGCCTGGTACTCAGACAAACGAATTGACAGCTAACCATGCATTTTCTGTTCAACTTCGAGAAATCTCTTTATTTACGTCTCTCTAGCAAAGAAAGGCGGACAAATCAACAACAAACGCAGGGAAGGTATGATCATAACACAATATACGGGTGCTATGATTACTAGTCGGTGGAGTTTGTAGCTAGCGTCACTGCACCAGTGTTTACACATTGACCGTTTCGCTAAGATCACATTTTAGGTGAAGTTACGTTACTATCCAAGCACAGGTTTGGGTTATTTTTGGCGTGTTTTTAGTCTTTTTTTTTATCGGGGTTTCTTTTTTTGCACTAGAATTTTTTTAAACCCCAACCCAGTGCAAAAATGAAACATCGATTAAAAAACAGCCAAAAAAAAACGCCCAAAATAACCCACAACTCAAACCTTTGCCTGGAGAGTAAACTGAAGTAGCATTCCTACAGGGCAGCCGCTGTGAAGTGGGCAGGTCACAGTTGACGAATCGTCTTTGTGAAGAGCAGAAGAGTGAAACGGACTGTGATTGGACGGTTACACTCAGTCGAAACTGGGAGTATAAAACGGACTGTGATTGGACGGTTGCACTCAGTCGAAACTGGGAAGACAAAATTAAGGAATGGTCTATCTGATTGGACCTTCTTCGAGGAGTAAAACAAACAAACAAACAAACAAACAAACAAACAAACAAACAAACAAACAATCGACTGCTCATCGATATGTTAGAAACATTTTGCGCTTTTTAAAATTCAATAGAATCAAACCGTACAGTTGTCTCTAGGCAGGCAACACATGTACAGAGCAGTCGGAAAACGTTTAGCTTTTTCCTCCCAACATCTGCTCGGAGATTATACTGTTTTAATAAACACGGACTGCCAAGTAACCCTTAACCCCAGAGTGCGCTCCGTCGTAGGGGGG